TCCAGTGTGTTACATTTAGGAGGCTCTACTGGCAAAACTCGCATATAGTATTCATAGGTATGTTTTTATTAGTGTAGAATCACTTGAAAATTAGCTGTACCTTTAAATATATTCTGTAACTGAGGTTTGAAAAGTGCTGTATAAATAAGGTTAATTATTATTTATTATATTTATTTATTATTATTATTTATTATTTTTATCTGAAGGTGAGGGTGCAGTTTTTCTCTTAGTCATTGGGAAAATATCAAGGATGCTGGAGAGGTGTGAAACATAATCTTCCCCCCTCCCCATTGCCAACACAGAGACAGAGTAAAACCAAAACTTGTGAGTTCTGTTCCTGAAGTAGGAAAACCTGATTCAAAATCCCACTGACATTTGTAATAACAGAAAAACACTAAAAATCCAGCCTTGGATCACAACCTTACCCAACAATATGTTGTTTCACTCCATATGTCTCAATAAAGACAGACAGTAATCACTTTGAGCCCAACCGATATGGGATCCGAAAAACAATCCCAGATACCAGTACAATATATTCTTCGGACTCTATAATTCTACTATCTCTACTTTTATTATTATTCAATAAACCTTTTTCACAGCAGCCATTTTGACGTGAAATGGTAGGGTAAACATGAGTGTTACCAAAGATACCAATAAGTTGTTTTTTTTACAGGGTTTTATGAACAGTTCCCCTGAACCTAGACAACAGAGGTGATGCTCCTGGGCTGAGTTCAGACATGTCGGTAAGAACACCACAGAGGAAGTGAATGCTGTTTTTAAACAGTTAATAAGATGGAAAAATGACTTTGAAAGTTGAGTTTTATGGATACAGACATCCAACGATGAAAGTACCCACGCTGCTGCGGCTTTAAACTTCCATGGTGAGGAGTGTTTTTTTTTTTATGTGCTCACAAATGAATCGTTTATTGAAATCTTAAAAATGTCAACTTCTAATAGCAGCTGCTGTAGTGGAGGCGATTAAGTAAACCAGAGGAACACACTTCATTTGTTCAGGAAGACCAATGACAGACTGAATGAGAGACTGCAGACATGTACCACATGTAGTATTAATGCAAAGTTAAACAAACCAAAACACTGACAGATCAACTGTATGAAAAGATATTCTAATAATGTCCACTCTTAGTAACATCCAGTTTAATGAATCGTTGAATATATTTGGAACATGACTGGTGGTGCTGATGAGGGGGTAGTTGAATTCATCTGACAGGACTTTGGGGGGGTACGCAAAAAGGTTGGGCTGGTTCGTACAGTGCCTTAAGAAGAAACTGCACCAACAGCAGCTGCAGAAGCTAAATGAAGAATTACATGAAGATAAATCCTCCGGACGTGTTCAAATACAAAGGAGCTATAATGGCCGACTGAAGGAGATGCAGCTTTGCAGACAGGTCATCATGGGTCAGTATGAGTCATCTATGACCTAATGGTTCCACTGTATTGATTTGCATGATAATGTTCTATGTCCTTTCCTTGATACCCAACACTCATTATGATAACGATGTGGGCGTGGGTGCAAATGTGTGTGTGTGAAACGAGTGATGACCTATTGACTGACTGGAGCCAGGCTGACTGACTGCTTGTTGAGGAAGCATGGTGACATCTTACATGATTCATTATTAATAAGTGTTTTGAGAGGACACAGAAACATGACAATGACAATCATGACAGACACTTTATGTGTTCTTATATATTTCTTGTTGGTGCTGTTTGATCCTGTGTGGAAATTCACACAAGGAGCAGTTAGAGAGGTCCTGATTTGAATAACATGATGCTGCACTCAGATGGTTTGTAGATTTGATGTGAAACTGATTATATCAGCATCATGGAAGCTCTAGATTCACGTGTGTGTGTGTGTGTGTCAGTCAAATTTTTGGCTGTTATCAGCTGCGTCAGATTTGACCAGCATGAGGAAAGATATAGGTACACACACAGACAGACACACACACACACCGGGGGTTTTGCAGGTTGGGAAACTGTCTCGTCACTTCAGCAAGCATCACAAGCCTAAATCTCTGTCTCTTCTCTCATCCATCATCTTTGTCCGGCATGGGGGGAGAGGGGTTGGATGGTTGTTGTAATAGGCCTGGTTTTGCATCTCAATACTGAGGATGAAATAAGGAATACTGTCAAGTATTTACTACTGGTATCAAATACTTGTTCAGATTCTGTACTTGTTCTTTGTTCAGATATTTCCTTATTCAAATCATAACTTTTCACTATTGAGGGTCTTTTGCAGCTGCCTGATTTAAAATAAAATCATGGTTTTGTAGAAAAAACACAATTACTTATTGTTTTGGTATTAACTAAACTTGGGTTTCACATTGGCACTGGTATAAAACAGTTACTTATGGGGGGGCGACTTATTACGCCGACCAAGGGTGTGTATATGTCTTAATACATGTCTGGAGGGGATCTTTAAGTTTGAAAAGTAGAAAACAAGAACCTTTATGGTTCAAATGAGACCATATATTCCTGCTTCATGAGGGATCAGCTTCCTCCTCTTCCTCTCCTTTTCCAGAAGTGATGTATTTGCAGAACTGATCCCGAAGCAGGCTGGCCATCATTCCTCATTGCACAGGGTAGCAGCGCACTCTGGTGTCTGCAGGATGAATGGCAGCCCTGATGGACTCTGACCAACCTTACTGTGAAGGGAATATATGGGCTGTTACATTTGTAATTTATACATTTCTCTCACTTTTTCAGTTGTGGAATTCAAAAGAGGAGCAGAGCAGAGTGTATCGTCCTATCACAGATCACTGGACAGACCATGGCATTAATACTGTACACAAATGCAAACTTTGGATTACATTGATGCTTGCTTTATAAAGTTGTGACAGGAGGATTGATCAGTGACCAGTATCCCTTTAAATGTACACACTGTATTGGCATGTTAGTACTGTTTTAAGATAGACCACCCTTTAATGCTTCCTTATGTTCTCAGGTGAAGGTTCATTAGTCACTGTTTGGATAAGCAAGAGAACAAATAAACACAGGGCGAGGTGGGACCATTGTTAGTGAGCCACAGGAGGTGGTGAACAATGATTTATCCAGCCTACCTTTCTATTTCTCTCTCACAAAAGCTGCCCAGGAGAGCGTTATGTTGCCTGGAAACTCCACTTAACAAGGTCAGAGACAGGAGAGAGGTAAAGAGAGACTGACACCTCCAGCAGTCCTCCACCGAGGCTGCTGGGCTGCTCTCTCCCCAGGGCACACGTTAGGTGAGTAAACACTCGTTTTTGCTTGCTCATTATTTCTTAGACATGACTGTACTTAACTGTGCTGCCACCTGTTTATCCATGTTGTGGTTATTACACCCCATCCATTGGTAACAAGTCTCATCTAAATACATCATGTGGAAACAAAGTTCTGAAAATCTGACATAGGTTAGGCCCCATGTGGAATGGTATGTGTATGCGTTCTCATGCGAGGTCGTCAAACGGGTGCAGTTTGGTTAGGTTTAAAGATCTTGATTTGGATTAGAATAAGTAGGCCACAGGACGTAAGGGACATACATAACGGTATGTACCTTTAAACTTTATATAAGTCCATGTTGACTTTTGGTTTCACATCGGACACGAATCCCGGCCTCCTGGGTGAAAGTCCCATGTTTGTTTGATTCATCCATCTATCCACCTCAACTGCCTCCTTATGCGGACTTTGCCTCTCTTTATGCTACGGTATTTGACAACCAGGGAATGAGACTGAGACTTTGTGAAGTATCTTTGGAAAATGTATGTGCTGCATTCTGTGTCTGTCATGCCAGCTTATTCGGTCTTTTTCGGGCACATTCACATGCATGACACAATGATAAACTTTCATAATCATCATTATATTAACAAAATGGATCGGACTGATAATTGGTTGTGATAGGTATCCACTGTGTGGCAGGTGACAGGAGTGTGTGGAGAACAGGTAACACAGGAAGGAGATCAGTAATCAGAGGAGCTGACGGCAGTGGTTGGGAGTTTAAGTGTATCAGGTAACTCTGTTGTGCAGTCAGAAAGAGAGGAAGGAGGTGTATGTATAAATACTCTTGTGGTGTCAGATCAAAATATCTCGTACTGTATTTGTAATGCTGCTCTTGATTAAGACACCCTAATGGTTGAGTTCTAAATATTAAACAAATATTGAAGTGTGAGTTGACAGGTCAGGATACAGAGCTGTTAATCAGCTGCTATCTCTTCACGTCTCCATCAGGATGTCAGCTATGCATTGGGAGGCCAGACGGCGTCAGAATGCTCTGGACCGCAGGATGGCCAGAGACAAACAGCAGGTAAATAACCATGATGTACCAAATAACATGTTATTTAAGAATGTTTTCTGGTTGTGACAGTGATGGAATATCGCTAAGTAGTAAGTACACTTACTCAGGTACTGTAAAAGACTAGTGTAGGATTTAGTGGCATCTAGTGGGAAATTGCGCACTGCAACCATCAAAATCCCCTGACTCAACCAAACACACAGTAGAAAGCAGTAGGTGATACAGGGAAAGCCCCAATGGGAGCACACTAGCGATGAGAAGAGGTTATTTTAAGTAACCCGCAATATAAGCTATAGTTTCGAGGGTATTAAAGATCCAAAATGAAACTGACAGAAGGACGGGACTGAGAGAAAAGGAGAAATAACACATGCGTCTGCTATTTCAGCACCACATACATGAATTTTATTGATATTTCAGAGCCATGGTTGGCACTCAGTAACGTAAGTTAGACATTATGATGTTCCCTACATTTGGTCTGTACCCAGACCACAGCCCATCTGTTAGTGACCTTAATACTGTGGGATAAAGAGGGGGGTAGCAGGTTGAAAAGGGGTAATTTTGCTACCAAGGAAGATGGCCTCCCCCCCGACATATCGCCTACTGTGAGAAGCTACAGTGTTTGGTTTGTCTGTTGTGGGCTACTGTAGAAACATGATGGAATCAATAGAAGAGGAAAGAGATAGTTAGAAACGTCTCATTCCAAACATACCTATAAATAACATGTTCCATTTCTGCCAATATCCTCCTAAATGTTACACACTGGACCTTTAATAGTGGAGCTTCCAGTCAGTGGATGTAAGTATCTGAAAATATTTCTTCCAAAACGTTCTGCTGACGGTCTGCCCGCAGTCTGTCTGGTCTACTTTATTATTGAACAACAGATTGAAAACTGAGCAGGGACATGTGACACCCCAGCATGGGGTCGTTTCCTGTGTGAATCTGACAGCTTGTATCCTGTTGCTGATTTTCCAGGGTGCGGTCAGACGCAAAAATATGTTTTAGATGGATTTAATAATAACCCTGATTTATTTATCTTTTAAACCTGAGTTAGCTAGGATTAACTTTAAATAAGTAGAGGCTTGTTTTAAGATAAGACACCCCTCGGGCAAAATGTCCCTTATGGGCACTTGAAAGCAGATCAAGTTTTAAATGAAATAAAAATGCATCCAAATGTAATGATTGGCTGGGCTTAATACAGGCCTGCAACTGCTACAGATTTAATTTCAGAGCATTTGATTTATTGATTTCTGTTGGGATGTAAAGAGAATGTCAACAAATATAACAAAAATGGAATACATTACCTACCTTAGCTTTAAAGGCAACATGTAAAAATCAATGAAAGTTTTTCTTTTTACTTTGGCATGCAGAGGTGTAATAATAGACATGTGTATTTGGCTAGAAAACCTGGCATATTCTTTTAACTCAGGTCTTTTCCATTGTTGTTGCTGTATTTGGAGTGTTTATTTTAGTTTATCTTTTTCTTTACAGCTGCTGCAGACGGGTTCTGAGACCAGCCGCAATGCAACTGAATCAAACACAACACAAGAGCAAACAGGTATCATTACTGACAGATTCAGACCACGGTGGGACAATGTATCATCCATCAAAAACACAAGCTGTACTTGTCCTATCTTTCTGTTATCATGGGTTTGCTTTTGCCACTGCTCTCTGTCCAAGTTGGGGCCAAGTTCCTGGGACACACTTTAAGCACTGCTCAGGAGGTGATATTTAATGTGATTCCTGTACTTTCAGGGTTTGGTGGCTGTGCTGATGATCGTGATTGGTCATGCAGATGTGTAGTAACATCACAATAAGAATCACTACAACACACACATAATGGAAAACCCTATTTTACTACTGCATCTGTATCGACCAGGACAACCTAATCTCTTTAAACAGATGTTTGGAACAAGATCCTTTTTTATTAGCTTTTTTTTTTTTTTTGAAGGACCAGTGTATACGATTTAGTAGCAAATAATAGTGTAGTTGCATTCTAAGGTAATAAAAAACAACAATTCCTATATTCAGGTGATTATATACAAAGAAAACATACCTATGAATATTATATTCCATTTCTGCCAATAGATCCTTCTAGATGTTACACACTGAACCTTTAACAAGTATAATATTCATGCATTCATATGCGAATATCTGTTTATAGAGATTAGCCAAAATGTGTCGTTGTCTTCATGCTCAGTTAACAGTTAACAATAATGTATTCATGAAATGTAGTTAACGAGCTTCAACTTGCAAAAACAGTGTAAACATGCCCTCATCTGCTGCCATACTTTATCTTGCAGTGGGAATAATATTGTATCTGCTCTTGAACTAAATCACACCGTAGAGGGAGCCAATTTTCTGCCTGAGAAACAGCTGTTTACATTTAATTGTCCATTGAATCATGTCCAAACTTGACTACTGTGCAGCTGTACACACACACACACACACACACACACAAGACAATGGTGTCATTGTTGGCTCTGTTACTGTTTTGTGAATATCTGTGTGATCTTTGGAGGTCTTTAACCCCTCAGTGGTCTCATCAATGAAGTCACAGTCACAATACACACAGTACTAACTCAACATTTGCATACAACTACATGTTAACACGGGGATGCCCATTGTATACACACACACACACACACAGTTTACCTGCCACTATGATGATATACACTGTGTCTCTACAAAAAGTGAAATAATAGCGAATTAAAATAGACAAAACAGACTGAAAGTCTGTGTTCCACGTGATCATGATCACAAGAATATTAGCATATTATTGGACGTGTTATTTTGTTAAGAAAACACACGACTCCCCTTTTAAAAAGTACCAAAAAAGAATATATTGTACATTTTGTCAATTTCATAGATAAGTCAACCTCTATGCTTTTCACTGTTCACTATCTGAATCTCAGGTGAAGGGTAAAGTTACCTGATCATGTGACAACGTGGACCTCGTGTTTAACTTAAAAAAGACACACACACAAACAGCAGGCCGGTCGTCACGGTCCAGAGTGTTCTCATTAGAGGGAGGTCTGATGAAGGATTCATGAAGGGCCACACAGGCTGCTGCACACTGAGTGTCAGATATCAGCAGCCACAGATTTACTGTTTTCCTGGCAACAAACTGAAAAGGATTGATGGGAGCAAAGTGAAAGGATACATTCAGCCATTATTTGATGCCTCACCTTGTCTTCGAGCATCAAGGTCCATATGGACTGCACTCACTCTCAAACACATACCACTGGTGATCCATGAGCTCCCTCTGGTGGTACGTGGGGTGAGTGGCATAGTCAGAGACCCTGTCTGTTTTCTATTTCCCTTTTTTTTTTTCCATCGCACACAGAATGGACAGCTGGTGGACCTTTAACCTAAGGAAGATTTGCTCAGCATTCATCATGTTTTTCATGTGTTTCCAGCTGGAGGCCAGTGCCCCCACTGTAAGAAAGACCTGATGACGCCTGTGCATCACAGTGCCAAGATCCCCAACAGGTACTCAGTAAGTATCAGCGCCTTCCTCATGATGAGTTTGGGTTGTCACGTCTTTAACCTCCTCTCCATGGCTGACAAAGGGAACTCAGGAGAGAACAACTTTTTGCACATTTTTGAGTATTTTCAGAGGAATAATGCCTGTTTATCTTTCAGTCTTTACAGTACGCCCAGCAATGGTGAGGACGACGAGGAACTGCGCTGAATCACCGCACCGAGTCTGGATGCTCTGAACAGCAGCTCTGCGTTTGCTTTTGTCAAAACTGCATCAGTGTGAGATTGCTGTTGGTTTAATAATAAGTTAATGGGACAAATGTGACTTAAAACATGTCTCTTTTTTAAGCACTACTGAGCTCATGGTCATCTGGAAAATGTGTCCTTTTTAATAGGTAATTTCTCAGTGAGACCTTCATACCGTACAGTGAGCCAGTAATAAGTAAAGTCAAATATCCTCAACAGTTGACTGAATAAACTCATGTCATACAAACAGTTTCAACGGTCTGTTTACAGGTTTACAGAAACTGTCATAAACCTCTAACCTCCATGCCGAATTTCAGCCAAGGGTGAAAACTGTGGCCGCCACCTTTAATACCTATATATACATGTACCTATAATAGACCCGTCTGTCTGGTCACAGTGTTTTCAATTCCATATTCATCAATACAACGCACTAACAAACTTTCATGGTGGCTGTTCTAATATCCATAATGCACCAATGCAACCAAAACACTTGATAAACATCAACTCTGACACTATTGTCTTTTACATTTCCCCTCATGGGAACTGGTGGTCTTGATATTGAGTGCTGTGAGTGAACATAAAAAAAACAACAATTCTTGTTTGTGCTGATTCAAACTGACCTATGTAGTGAATTTAACAGAGCTATTTCAGTCATGACACATGACCACAGTTTGGTTTGGTCTGAGTCGCATTAATATTAAAGTGCCACATGACTGCCCGCATTCTTCTTTATAATTGTCACAGTATTACAGAATAATGTTAGATCTGTGGCGGCTCAAAGACTTTAGACAGAACAACCTCAAACATTAAAGATTTCACCATCGACATCCACCAACAACCAATAACTTCCTGTGCCCGGTTGCATTAACCAATGTGTTTCTGACTTAAGTTTATACCTAATGCACAATATTTCCCGAGGCTGAGGGGTTCATTTAGAAGTGTTACATATAGCCTCTTAGGTTGTCTCCTTGCCTACGTGTTTGGACCGAGGCTTTCATGGTAGTTATTGTCATAATGAAGCATATGTGTATTTCAGTTACCAAGGTTATGCTTCATCATCATTGACAGCATCACTGTCAGTGTTACCTTTAGCTACCTTCTTCAAGATGCACAGAAAAAAAGACACCAGATGATTGTGATGATTCTGTTAATTCGTGACCAGCAACACCTTTCACATTTGATCCATTGTTTATATGAGAAAATTGATTAATGCAGCTTTATTATTATAGATGGAGGCACAATCATGTGGAGTGGATGTTGATATCCTGAGGGTATATGGCAAATGGCAAGCTCAGAAGCTTTAAAGATTAAAAATAATAAAAAAGACTTTATCCACAATATCATTTGTTTGTATTTTTAACACAGCTGCACCATACTGCAGCTCATTTACTTTGACAATACTTGTATGACAGCACATCTACCATACTTTTTCAGCTCATGAACAAATTATAAAATAAAGTTGAGTAATATTTACACGTTGGATAGTGATTTTTAGTGATCAAGTTTTACGGCAACACAGACATTTCCCATGACTGAAAACACCAGCTGTCTGAACTAAAATAAAAGGATATTCAGGTTTTTCGTTTCCGCTCCAACTTTCATTACATCATTGTGTTCCTGCTGCTACGTTCTTATCAACATCCACTCAATGACGGAAGATTTGTTGGGGTTTCCTCCACTGTATAATTCAAATGTGTAGAACTGTTGCTAAAGATGGTGAGAGTGGTGCAATTGTACTCATCTTTCCTCCATTCATTCATTCACATACAGGGCGGGGTAGAAAGAGTCCATTCTTCATTTAGTCACTCATGTTCTTCCCTTTCCAGGCCCCTTCATGCATCCACCCAGATGAGTTTTAATCACAGCCTGCTGTCACATTATATCTTATCCAAAATTTGAGTGACAATTCATGGGGGGGAAAAAACATATATATATATTCCACCTCAGAAACAGTATGTCCACAGTATTTGTTCCTTTATGTGTCCGTCCATCCATTTGTCCATCCCTCAGGGGGGTGGGGGTTGCACACTGTGTGGTATGGTGCTGTTTGCTCCACAGTCGATGTACTCGTATGTCTCCACAGAGAGCTGCTCATAGTGGGCCAGGTAGTACACTGTCATAGACATCCTGCAGGACAAGAAACACAAACACAGCAGAATTATACTAATGAGCATTACAGGATGCTAGCAATGTTTGGATTTAAAGGAACTAGGGCTGTCCCAGACTTAAGATTTTCCAAGTCAATTAGTTGAGGCATGTTTATGATAATAATAATTATTAATAGTAACAGCCACCTGTTGCTAACAGAAAACGCGGTAATGATTCTGAATGTGTCAGAACAACCAGCAAGAAGACTAAACATTTTGGTCATTTTAGTGTTGTTCAAAACACGGAATAAATCACTTCCAACTTCACAAAAATAAATACTCGCAGACCTATCGATATGATGATGTATAAAATTAACAGTTGCTGACAAATTACATCACAACAAATCCACTCTGCTCCAAATACTCACTAGAGTACCAAACACCAACAAATGCACCATTTCCTCCTGTTTGAGTAGTGCTTGACCAGGGGGCAGATGCATAAAACTCTGCAAATCTTTGTGATATAATAATGAAATTTCCCCCCCAAGAGGGATTAATAAAGTAATTCCTTCCTTCCATTCCTTCTTCTTCTTCTTCTTCTTCTTCTAATCAAATTGAGGCAAACACAGTGATGTTTTTCTTCCTCATGCAGTCTGAAGTATGTGACTGAAGCACGGCGGAGGATTGTTTAATCCGTTCACCAAGAGTCATGTGAGTGTTGGCTTCAGCACAAACTGGGGCAGAAGTCAACAGATATTATAGATGGTTATTCCTATGTTCTCTGGCACCAAAGATAATGAAACCATCCCTAGAATAATACTAAGTAACTTCTGTTTAAAGATTCAAGCAGAGAAATAAACATCGGGAATATTCGAGTTTTGATTGCACAAAATAGCTATTTTGTATACTTATCAGAGATCCAGAAAGTGACCAGAATACAGGAATAACACTACCTGGTCCCAAGTTTTTTGTTTATTATTTTGAGAATATTCCATCAAATATAACTTTATTTAGAAATATGCATCATGAGCACAATTTAAAACAAAATCTGGGACCCTTCGCAAAGCAGGGCCACAAGATTTTGTAGTAATGGAGAATCAGGCAACTTTGCATTTAAGTGGTGCAAATTATTAAAAACAATGTCATTCAACAAACAGAAAATGTAAAAAACAAAACAAAAAAACAAAAAGATCAGCTGAGCACTTTACCCAGTTCTAGCCTTGACACTGACAAGGCCGTAAATGTTGAAAGGATTCTTCAGACCTATGGAAAAAGATACTTACTGTAGGTGCAGATACAGAATGTGGACGGGCAGGGAAGCTTTCTTACAGTAGTTACTGCAGAAAAAAAAGAGGGGCAGTCTTTAAGAAGTGCTGGTATCTATACAATAATAACGACAATATTACAATACAATGGCAATACATGTTTTAGACTGATTGAGAGACTTTAAACACAAACAGAAACACATCATATCACTGTATCACCCTACTATCTAGAATAACAGGTTCTACCAGTGTGCAGCATACGTTGATATGTAATTCAACTCTCTCTGATCTCTCTCTTAAAGTTGATCAAGGACGTGCACTTTGGTTGCATTGCCTCTCTTGAGGAGCAACCACATTTTACCTTCGTCAAAAAACTGCAGCTTCTTGCAACCTAGATATCGGACTTGGCCATGGTGCGATCTCCATAATATTTTGATTAATTGTGCCGCCCTGATGAAAATTATCTTTATATAAATGACATGCCAACCTTCAATCACTGACCAATTAATGACCTTCGAGGGAATCTTGTGACGGCACAAAATACTTGATTTGGTCCCCTGGTGCAAGCCAGCAAAGTTTGTGTGTGTGTGAGAGAGAGATGTCCCCTTCTGCACCAGCTGAGCTCATTCAACTTGAAACTGGTTCTTTGTTTCAGGTTAGAGCCCCTCAAAATGTCTGTGCAACTCCGGGGCTCGGATGTCCAAATGTAAACCATGTTTTACAACTTTCTGTATTACTTTTAGAAAATTAAAAGTAATAATATTATTTTATTAGCAACCAGTCATAATTAGTTTGTACTGACAAGGTACGAGGAGCACAAAAAGACTGTGCAGTTGGTAAAAAGTAAGAAGAAGCAGTGAGCTCTTGACATTCTCCATCTTGATACACACTGTGACTGAACCAGTTTTCCAATCATTCCTTAGTCTCCATAGTTAAAGAGGTTTTGAGTAAAACCTTTAGCACCTGAGACAGTTCAGTAACACTGGAAGCTCACCTCGTGCCAGGGTCTGTCAGCTTGACGGGGATCACAAAGGAGATCTAGAAGGAAGGAAAGAGGCAGAAGCATTTCATAACCACTCGCCACTCCAGAGGTATATTAGGAAGAGTATTTCTCTGATGCCAAGTTTAAGCAAAACAGTATACCGTACTATCTGTGAGGTTGTGATGTCTCACCATTTTGACAGATAGAGGTTTGACAGAGCTGACGTTCTTAATGGAAACTGTTCCCACCACCGTTTCGAAGTTAAGGGCCTGCACGGTCAGATTGTAGGCCTGCACTGCCACAAAGTTGTGGTTGGTGATGTTCAGGACATTCTACAAGGAAACACAGTTGGGATCTTATAACACATTATAGATCAAACAACAATCAGAAGAATCAGGAAAGGATATCTTATCAGTCCTTCCACCCACACCTTTCACTCTCTACCTACTGTAATATTAATCTCGACATCGTTTTCGTTGAAGTAAACAAAGGATGACTTGACAGCTACTGGAGAAAGAAGGACCGAGCGAGGAAACAGGAAGAACAACACCAGGGAGCTGGCCAGGAGGCACAAACCAACAGACACAGCAACGTATAGCTTCCTGAGAAAGGAGGAGACACATTAGTGGACTACATCAAAACATCATCACTCCATATCAGTCCAATGAAACAACCTCAGGCCAGCCTGTTCACGTCACAGTTTAGAACCCATTCAAAACTGCATCAGGGGAAAACGCGCATCAGCCAACAACCCTCTCAACCAGGTCTCGACGTGGGTCCCATGCGAAGGAATAACCCTAACCCTACATTAGGTGGATTTCCATCCATTTGTTTTTATGCACATCTTCAATTGGGGAAAAAAAAATATTTTTGCATTTGCATTATTGCTGTGTGCATTTTAGTCCCCTCATCTCTCCACAGATGTTGTAAGTGTTGAGTATTTGTTTTCTTACGTGTGTCTGGGTCTCAGCCTCTGGTCATTACACGGGATGACAGCCACCAGCTTGCTCTCCTGACCTGTAACACACATGGAACATGGTTTCAAATCAAAGATGGCAAATAAATACAGATAAAAGACAGA